TTTGTAGCAAGGCTAATGGTCTTACGTTGCTTGTTCACAACACTAGCATCAGTAGCACTTGATGGGCACTTGGAAGCCATTTTGAATGGTTACAGTACACTATTAAGAGCAAAAACACTTAAACACTCAAGAATACTGTGGAAGCCTAACAAAGACTGGCAGTGCTTGGGGACGCAGTGACGTTCCCCTGCCAGATGAAAGAGGGTGAACCGCTGAAAAAAGTAGTCCATGATGACGCAAAACGACGTTGGACCGAGTCACAGGGACGTTAAACGAATTTTTGGTCTCTAAAGTTTAGCGACACAGTACCGAAACAACTTAAAGCGGCCCGACGTTAAGCGAGGACTTACTGTACAATCAATTTTTGTGGGTGGACATCAGCTGTTCTGTTGTGTCTGGCAGTGTGGCAGTCAGTGTTTCCAAACAAACTGAGTGACTCGTCATCTCCTCGCCACTTATTCTCTCCCTCTAGCACCAGCTCCATGATCATCACCACTACCTCCTTTATCACCAGAGCAGATTAGCACGATGTCCACTGCACAATATCCCTCCCACATTTCTCCCTCCCACCCACTGCATATCACTGAGACACTGCCTCTCATTCTACTGTGACTTTCATTGATAATACAATATTGTACAGTACTGTCGATTTTTTATTTTTTATTCATTAATTAGTAAATATATGTTACTAGTATTATATCTTTAGTGCGCCTACACGTTTTTGGGGGTATATTTTGGTCAGTTTAGGGATGCATCTTTGGGGTCGTTGGACAAAACTAATTTTTCCCTTATGTTGTGTTTCAAATGTACACTTTTGCTTATCACGGTAGTTTTCTGGAACCTAACCTCAACGATTATCAAGGATACATGTACTATATGTTTCCACTACTATATCAGCTTGTGGTGTTGACTTGTATTTTCTATTTTGGTGTTATCTTTTCAGTCATCCAGCAATTTTTAGGATTTTAAGTTTTGGAATCAGTAGTTTAGAAAATTCTAAGACACTATTCTTCAATAGCATTTCTTCTGTTCATTATTACTTTCAGAGAAAATTGCAATAAATTGTTGGAAATCTTCTTATTTTTTCCAAGTTCTTGTTATTGTTTCAATCGTCCAAGAGAGCTCCTCTGTGTTCGCTTATTGGTTACTATCCTCATTACACATGCGCAGTTGTTCTCTGGACATTGATTGGTTGATATGATTTTGGATCAACCAATCACAGCTTGGTATACCAGTAGGCTCCCCCAGAGAAAGAGGTGCTAGGCAGTGCGACCTGTGGGTGACGAGGAGAAGGATCTCATGACCCTAACTCGGAGTCTTCTGAGTCTAATTAAGGTGAGGTTCAAGGTTAGGTTTTGGATTATTCTGACATTCAGTTCTATCACAAATTACTACTTTTTGTGATTTTTCCCAACCCAAACCCTATTTTTTGCTATTTTCTCTGAAAGTAATCACAAACAGAAGAAATGCTGTAGAATAAAGGTGTCTTAGAATTCTCAAACTACTGATTCCAAAACTTAAATTCCCCTAAAATTGCTGGATGACCGAAACGATAATTTTACCTCTATTTTTGTCTAATTATTTTATACTTTGTGTCAGGGAAGTAAACGTAGCACTGTTGATCTACAAGAAGTTCTCGCTGAGTTAAATCGCAAACAAAAGGAACAAATATGGGTCAGTCTTTATTCTTGGACTGATGTTCAACTTTTAAAATTAGTGGAGGATAATGTACCTGAGGGAGACGTGGTGGAGCCTGACCAGCCTCCCGATGAAGAAAGAAAAGGCCCGCCACAGAAGGATGGATCAGTCAGCCAGAGCTGTCAAGATCCACCACAAATTGAAGGATCGGCCAGCCAGAGCCATCAATATCTACCGATTAAGGTAAGTTCAGTTTTATTTTGAGAAAGTTGAAGCTTGTTGGATGATATATAATATTCAAACACCAGTTATTTCAGTAAAATCTCCAATTAACAGACATCAAACTAATGAACAGGTATAGTCCATTATATGAAGGTTTCAAATCTATAAACCTTGATATAATGGTCTGTATGCTAAAACAACTGATGGAAGAGCTTGTAGTGAGTGAAAGTATGGAAGAAATTATAAATGTACAATCTCTTCCACTTCAAACTGTTAGTCAGTATTGTCAATCTACACTCACCGTGCTGTGTGAATCCTGTGAGTGTTAATGAGTACAATATATTATTATCATACAGTGTGTGATCATACATAACCAGTTGTGTCAAGTTTGCAGTCTCTTCCCATCTTTGTATACCTGGTACACCTTTGCCACTCTCAATCCCGGTAGACATAAAACACCCCAGTTTACCTGCGATTGGTTGTCTACTAAACCTCATATATATTCACTGTGAATAGTGACAAGTTGTTGAGAAACAATATCAGCATGTTTATAACCTTGGTTGAACTTGATGCCTAAAACATTATTTGGACAGTTGTTAAAATCATAGGTAGGGAGATTATTCAATATAAATTGCCGACCAACACTTCGGCCATAGGGGAGGGTAAGGTTCCAGTGCCATGTGAGGAGGATTGCCCTTTCCAATTTCTTCAATGTTTTAGCAACACGCATACATTTCCAAATACGAATAGTTCCTTTACAAAAGCTTTTCTTTGTGCATGTACAACTTATTTTATGGATGTTATATATTCATTATGCAAATTTCAATGTTCCCCCTATAACTAAATGCGTGTGAAAGCCACTCAATAAATGAGGCATATGAAACCAGAAATGATGATAGAAATATGTCAATTGTTTTAGGCCTTATCATGGGCGTAGTTTGTGGTGATGGTGTTCTTGAGTAAATATGGGTACAGTAATCATTTAATTCACTACTCTTTATCAGGCTTGCTAAGTTCCTTAAACACTAAAGTTCCTTAAGACTCCACTAAAACTAGTTTTTCTTCATTAAGGGCACTGTAATGGCAGTGCCCAGTGTGTTTGGCCAACATGGATGTTACACACAGCACCTCTGTGGCCAGAAAGGAAACCATGGACGAAGCGGCGCCATATTCAAACCGATTTTCTTGATTTTTTAAATGTGATAAGACTTTACTTACTGGATATTGATCACACCAAAAAAATTTGGTTGCTTGAGTCTTGGATGGTTAAATGCCAGATTTTTTTTACATTAGCCCACCAGGGCACAGGTCAATGACCCACATCAGGGCCTGGGGGCAAAATAATAATAATTATAATTAATAAAAAATTACTCAAAAAAATTAAATAAAGATATAATATAATAATAATAAATGACCGTAAAAAAAAGAAAAGAAAAAAAAGATTAATAATGAGAAATGATACATGTCAATGTTGTGTTGTCAAGTAAGAGCAATTGAGACCCTGCAATTGTGTGTAAATGAGGAAGAAATTCAGATTAGCAACCTGTGACTTGGTCACAATTTTTGTAATGTCATGTGGCAGCAGGGTCTACCATTAGACAACACATCTGAGGTTATACTGTATTGTTTTCTAAATTAATTGTTTGACACCTTCCTGGATATGTTTTTATTGTTCATTACACTATTACAATGACGATGCTTGTGTAATTAGATTACAATGCATCCATTATTCACTAGGTCATCCCCGTCGTTAACTACACCATATGTAGAGGCCCCAGCCCTTCCACCTCTCACCCATGAAGTAAGTGAGAGTTGCTTAGGTTTAAGGAATGAAGGACGGACATGGAGGACTGCTGCATGACCGATGCATGTGTGTGCAACTTGGGAGGGGGGGAGGTGTGTTATCACAGTTGCATATTATCTTGTCAATTCTGGACAGAGATAGGAAACGTTGGACTAGGGTGTGTTTTCCTGGGGCTGGGATAGGTCATGTAGCTGAGAGGAGAGATAGGGTTTTGTCAGGGGAGGGTACCAATCCAGTAGTGTGTCTTAGTGTCGGAGGAAACGACATAGGAAAGGTTAGGAGTGAGGAAATTTTCAAGAGGTATAGGGAGGCGCTGGGGAAGATTAGAGATAGGGGAGGGATCCCCCTAGAAGAGGGGTTGGTCGTGAATGGCTGTCCAGGGCAATTGCTATAAATTGCCGACTGGAAAAACATTGTGCAAACAATGGTTGGGCATTCATTGATAGCTGGCAACGATTCTATGGCAACGACTACCTGTACAGTCGTGACGGAGTACACTTGTCTCGTGCGGGGGTAAAGACGTTGTCTGCATCCCTGGAGCGTGAAATTGTCACTCCAAAGGGGGGGTTTCGCCAGTAGAGAGAGGTCGGGGAAAGTGGGAGTCAAAAAACAAGCAGGTCCTGGGAAGTAAAATTAGTTACTCAGGACAAGGGGTAAAACAGGACCAGGGAAGGGTAGGCTTAAATGTATACTATACAAACAGTAGGAGCGTTAGAAATAAAATAGACTTGCTGAGAGCGGTTGTATGTACCGAGAATGTAGACGTCATAGCAATCACCGAAACTTGGATGAATCTGGCGAACAAATTTTTTTTATCAGAGTACCACATAGAAGGGTACAACATTTTTCACAAGGATAGGGAAGGTAGGAAGGGGTCGCACTCTTCGTCAAGGATACATTAAAATGTTGTATAAATAAGTCTGTATGGTTAGAAATCACGGAAGGAAGAGAAAAACTAATTATGGGAGTGATTTACAGGCCCCCCAAGTCTGGGCAAAGAAGTAGCTCAGCCCATATGGCAGGAAATGAGGAGGGCAGCAAAACCTGTGCATTATGGGGGATTTCAACTTCAGAAATATTGACTGGGACAACATTGTAGGTGACTGAATCTGAAGACTTCCTAGACGCAGTACAGGACAATTTTTTGAAACGACTAATTACAGAACCTAATAGAGGTGACAATATATTAGACCTAGTATGAACAAATAAAGAAAATATCAGATATCACAGTAGGGGAAGAACTAGGTAACAGTGATCACAGATAAATCAGGTTCACTCTAAATTGGGAAACGATAAACAATGACAATATGGTCAGAGTCCCAAACTTTCGGTTGGCGTATTATCAAGAGTTAAAAAGGTACCTAGGTGAGGTCACCTGGGAACAGTCACGTCAATCCCCAGTAGGAAGGGGTGAGGTCATAGATGAAACAACAATTGATCATGACAATAATATATTCAATAGTATACTACATAAAGCACAAGAACAAAATATACCATACAGAAAAATTTTGGAATAAAGAAAGGAATATATAAGAAATTAAAGGGAGGAGAGAAGCAGCTCAGAAACAGGTATAATGCACTATCTAGGAATGTTAAGAAAAATGTAAGGAAAGCAAAGAGACTATGAAATCAAAATAGCAAGATAATCCAAGGCGAATCCCAAGGGATTTTTCCAGGTATATAGAACAAAGGTCAAGGACAAAGTTGGGCCTTTAAAGTCAGGGAGGGGAGAAGTGATAAATGGCAGTGAAGAAATAAGCAAAGCATTGAACAAGTACTTCTTATCAGTTTTCACAGAGGAAATTCACGATGAAATTCCAGAGGTGGAACTGATATTTAAGGGAAAGGAAGAAGAGAAATTAAAGAAAATCACTATCAGAAAAGAGGATGTTCTTAAGAAGATAAATATACTAAAAACGAAATCCCCAGGGCCGGATGAAATTTTCCCTGGAGTCTTGAAAGAGTGTAGGGAACATATTAGCGGACCCCTCGTAAGCTTATTTACAAAATCATTAGACACCGGACTTGTGCCAGACATGTGGAAACAGGCAAATGTAGTACCCATATTCAGAAAGGGAGACAGCATCAGCGTCAAATTACCGGCCGATCAGTTTGACGTCAGTTGTGGGGAAATTTCTTGAATCAATTATAGCAGATAACATCCGATCGCATTTAGAGAAAAGCAAATTAATCTACGACTCTCAACATGGGTTTACAAAGGAAAAATCTTGTCTAACAAATCTGCTGACATTTTTTAGGAAAGTCTTCGAGGTAGTAGATAATGACGAAAATTACGATATTATTTACTTAGACTTTAGCAAAGCACTTGACCGAGTACCGCATCAGAGGCTTCTGAGAAAAATTAAGGCTCATGGTATCGAGGGGAAGTTTTAAATTGGATAAAATCATGACTCACCGATAGAACACAGAGGGTCAGCATAGATGGTGTTCAGTCTGAGTGGGGTCGTGTAGCCAGTGGGGTTCCCCAGGGGTCAGTACTAGGCCCACTCCTGTTCATAATCTACATAAACGATCTAGAAACTGGGATCAGCAGTGACATAAGCAAGTTTGCGGATGACACTAAAATAGGGCGGCAGATTAATTTGGGGCAGGATGCAAATGAATTACAGGAGGATCTAAATAAACTGCAGGGGTGGTCTGAAAAATGGCAAATGAAATTCTACACCAGCAAGTGCAGCGTACTTAATATTGGAAGAACAAATACTGTCAATGTATACAGCCTTAACAACATCAACCTAGAGAAGTCGACTTGTGAAAGAGACCTTGGGGTACTTGTAAGCCCAAACCTACGGCCTAGAAAACCGTGCGTTAATGTTCGAAATAAGGCAAACAGAGTATTGGGTTTTATATCTAGAAGTGTAAGTAATAAGAGTGCAGAGGTCGTATTGCAACTATATCTTGCGTTAGTCAGGCCGCACCTCGATTATGCGGTTCAGTTCCGGTGCCCTTATTATAGAATGGATAACAATTCACTAGAGTCGGTGCAGCGAAGAATGACGAAAATGATTCCGGGACTTAGAAACCTTTCATATCAGGATAGGTTAAAGAAACTAAAATTGCATTCCCTAGAAAGACGAAGAGTGCGGGGAGATATGATAGAAGTATTCAAGTGGGTGAAAGGAATCAATAAAGGTGATATAGACAAAGTTCTTATAATATCCGAGCAGGATAGGACTTGGAACAACGGATTTAAGTTGGATAAGTTTAGGTTTAGGAGGGAGATAGGAAGGAACTGGCTTACAAATAGGGTGGTGGACGAGTGGAACACGCTTATCAACTTTGTAGTAAGTGCTGGAACGCTGGAAAGTTTCAAAAGGAGGCTGGATATATTCATGGATGATAGGGAGTGGTAGGAACTCGACAGGAGCTGCCATGCACAGGCCAACCGGCTTATTGCAGAATCCTTATGTTCTTGTGTAAAGTGGTTCAGACCTGTAGCTCAACCTGGGAATATCACCCTAATATGCAGTAAAATATTCTTCTCATAATTTATGTTTTGTCCTATTATTTATATCCTTGTTTAATGTATTCTGCATGGTGTAACTACTCCTAACTCTTTCCCACCCCCTACACTCTGACCCTCCTCAGTCCCTGTATTTCCCCATCACCCACCGGCCCCAGTCATCCTCTGGCCCCCTCTCCTGATCAATTGTGAATGCTTCAGATCCATGAATCGATACTCCCAGGGTTCACACCGCACGGAGAGTGTGAATTGACAATGCAGACTAACAGTTGGAAGTTGAAGAGGCTATACTGTATGAAGGTTCCAAGTGTTCCCTGTGGAAGGCAGTGATGGGTAGGGAAACACCGGGTAACACTGAAGTCCATTTAATAACGGATAGGAGAAATCCAAGTGGTGACTAGCGTGTGCCATGCACGGCCCACGGAGTCAGACTGAGACTGCCTTGCCATATGGCAGCCTCGGGGCAATGTTGCCACATAACACGTGCAGTGTTGCCACGTAATTACATATATAAATGCTACTCGGCACAGTAGCTTATTTACAAGTTTGCTACTTGGCACAGTAGCATAGATACATAACCTACATCTCCCTCCCCCCCTCACACTCGTAGTCTTTGTCTTGAGCGGACTTCTTAGTCCTAAGTCGCTCCAAGCGTCGAGGTGCACTGTGGGACGGATCCTCGTGAGGTGTAGGGGACTCGTCCTCGGTCAGGGGGCCAGCAGCAGGGGGTGGGACTGGCCGGAGGAAGCGGCGGTTCCTCCACCAGACACGGCCGCTCGGCATCCTGACCTTGTAGTCCCGCGACCGGCCGACGCCCATCACTATGCTCACCTTGTCCCAACGTGTCGTCGTCGGGTCCTGGACGCAGACAAGGGCACCAATCTCCAGTGGCTGAAGAGGGCAGGCACGGTCGTCATACCGAGCCTTGGCGTCCTGGGCACTCGTAGCGGCGCGGTGGTCGCAGCTCTCGGCTCTGGTCTGCCACTCCTTCACAAAGGCGTTGGCGGCCTTGGCGTGTGCAGGAACGCAAGAGCGGAGAGGGTGACCATACAGGATCTGGGCAGGGGAGCGTCCTGTGTGGGTGGGAGTGGACGCGGGTTCTGGGCAGCTCTGTGCAGCAGCGCCAGGCGCGTCGCTCGTTGATTCACACACCCTGCTGGCGGTGTACCGAGCAGCTGGGATCTGGTCAGGAAAGTCTCTGGGCACCACACCTAACTCCTTGCAGTGCTCCCACGACAACAAGGGTGTAGCGAGAGTAGGCTGCACATCGATCCATCCGTGACACGGCCTGTCGCCGTAAGTGATCTCCGCTTGAAAGGAGCCCACGGCGTCCGGCATCTGGGAACCGTCTGCATTGTAGTACTGCAGCTGCGGCGGTGGTCCCAGGCCGCGTTTGGTGAGGACCAGTTTCTGGAGGTGCTTCAGGCCTATCACCGTAGTATCAGCGCCGGTGTCCGGTATCACCTCGATGTGACCCGACACATCACCGTGTGTGACGGCGACGCCGATGGTAGGGGAAGGGGTAGCCCTGGGGCGTGTGGTCGATTCCACCCTCCTGATGTGACTCAGCTGCTGCTTGGGGCTACGTGGGCCATCTGAAGGGGGCTGCGTGCGAACCACCCCGAGAGAAGTGCGCTGCTTTCCTCCTCGTCTCGGGCTTTTGGGCTTGGGTTGCCGGCAGCACTTGTCGTAGTGTCCATAGCGACCACAGGCCTGACACTTGCGGCCTCGTGCAGGGCACCTGTCTGTGTTAGACCAGTGGCCCTTACGGTCACATCCACGACACAGTGCGTCGGCGGCTGGGCATGTCTTGGGGGCCATGCTGCTTTCCACAGGAAGCACTTGGCGGGGGCGTGGAAGAACGTGCAGCAGCCTTCACGTTGTTGGGCGCCTTCTTACCCTTCTTGTACTGTGAGATAGCTCTCACAGCAGGTGGGGCCCATAATGCAGAGGTGGCGGACTTGGTGGCCTCGTATGACCGACATTCAGTTACTACCACCTGGAGTGTGGAGGAAGTGTCCAGGGGGATGAGTCGCTGCACCAACTCTTCTTGCCTGACACCTGTCAAGATCCCATGCTTGATCCAGGCTTCCTCACATTCCCGGCTGTGCGCCTTGCAGACGTCGATCTCCTCTGACAAGACAAACTCTTCAAGCGTACAAAAAAGTCTTCAAAGGATTCATTCTCCGCCTGCTTGCAGCTGGTGAAGGCGCGGCGACGCAAAGCCTCGTTATTCCGACCTTTAATATGCTCCTGAAAAAGGTCGAGCACATCCGTCACTGAAGAGGTAGAATCGGGAGGCACTTGCAACGTGTGCTCCAAAACTCTGTCTCCAGCGACAAACACATCCGCAGTTGGATGAGCTGTTTGTTTAGAGGCATGCTGTCAAGGTCCACCATCGTGGAGTAATCTGTCCAACGCCGCCTTCACTCACGAAAAAGCTGAAACGTGACGTCTGGTGAGAGGGCGGGTGGGGGTTGAACAGATGCTTTGGGAGCTGTTAGAGTAGCAAGAGTACCTGGAGGATGCTGGTGTGGTGGAGGAGGGATGGTACTGGCGCCTTGGTGTGCGAGTGAGGGAGGGTGGGTTAGGGTCGCCAATATTGCATCAAAGCGCGCCTTTTCCTCCTCTCTTCGTGTCTCCTCCCTCTGAAGTTCCATCTCCCTGCGTCTCTGGTCCCTGTGATCCATCCACCTCAGAATTGTGGCAATGTCCGTCGCTGTAGGTGAAGGATGAGGGGCGGTGGGCGCAGAAGCTCCATCTGTGCCCGGTAGAGGAGAAGGTGGTGGGGAGTCGTGTCTCCCGTCTTGACGTTGTCCCTTCTTACCGCCCATCTTAGAATGCTTGAACTGCGGTGTTTAGTATATAAAGTGGCGCCGCATCAGCTCGAACCACATATTATGACATAAACAGCGCAGAATAATGCATAGAGTCCACTGTTCTGTGCGTGCGTGCGTGTGCGTGTGTCTCTCAGAGAGCAGAACGTGGTGGTGGCTCACGGAGGCAAGACCGTCCGTGTCTCCCCGGATGTCACACGAGTAGGGTGTACGCCTGCGTGCTCCGTGGGTACCACAAAAAAGAGGCCAATGCTGAACTCTCAGCTCTAGACACTAATACACTGACACTAACACCGCCACCGTCACTAAAAAGCACTGTGACGGCGCAACACTGCACGTCGCGGCGAAATGCAACACAACACACTAGTCGACGCGCACATCGCCGGCAGATGTAACCGTCGGCATTGTTCATGCACTTGTAAGTCCACAGATCCTACTCACTGCGCCATGAAGGTTCCAAATGTTCCCTGAGGAAGGCAGTGATGGGTAGGGAAACACCGGGTAACACTGAAGTCCATTTATTAACGGATAGGAGAAATACAAGTGGTGACTAGCGTGTGCCATGCACGGCCCACGGAGTCAGACTGAGACTGCCTTGCCATATGGCAGCCTCGGGGCAATGTTGCCACATAACACGTGCAGTGTTGCCACGTAATTACATATATAAATGCTACTCGGCACAGTAGCTTATTTACAAGGTTACTACTCGGCACACTAGCATAGATACATAACCTACACTGTACAGTTATGAATAATATTTTGCCCCCTCCCTTTGCCTTCCAAGCTGTAGCAGCATTGACTCCATGTAAGACAAAACAGCACACCCACACCAGGAGATTCATTCATGCTACTTGGTGTCACCATGGGGGCCAATTTTTATTTACGACTGTACATAATACCGAAAGGTTTACGTATTTGATTTTATTTAATCGTGTAATATATACTTAACCCCGATAATGTTGGTAGGAACCATCTGAGCCTTATAATGCCAAGCTGATGGAGGGAATCCTGCAGTTTGCCTCCATGTACCTCAACACTTTTAAAGAAGAGGAAATATTTATTCCGGACAAGTTATTGGAATTTGCTGGTGAGTAATTAATACTTTGTGAAATGTAGAATATAGATGAACTAACATTGTCCAGAGAGTTGTAAGAGCTTGTTTTATGGGTTTGTGGTCATTGACAAGTGACCTGTGACACTCATACAACTGCTAAGTTACCCCATGGCAGAGTCTGCCTATATGAAAAATAGCTTTACATGTTTCAGTATCAAATTACACAATCTAGGTTGGCCATCTAGAATAATATTTTTTATTGCAAGTAACACTGTCAAGATCTGAGTCCCTTTGATCCAGTTGCCCTCCACCACCATCTCCACTTATCAGCTTACTAGCTGTTCGGTTGGTCTGTTCTTTGTTACAACCTTCAGAACGAAACCGGAGTACCATGAGAAAACCAGCCAAGTTTGGTAGGTTAACACTATGATGCCCTTCTCATGTCTGTCCTGGACAGGAAATAGAACCCAGCACATAGTAGTGAAAGACACGTGCATCACCATGGTAAGACGAGTGGGATGTTGGGTCACATTTTGAAGCCAAACTCTCACTCTCCTGCCCTCTGCTGAACACCAAACTAAGGTATTGTGTTGAGGCAGTACGATAATAATGTAGTCAGAGTTCATTTATCGTACATTTGGTTAACATTGAGGTTTTCAGGAATGCATCATCTTTGTGTGTTAAGCGGTCACTGACTATCATTACTGGTCCCTTCATATAGTTCAACTAATGAGGATAAATGTTATTCTTCCACCTTCTTGGTCATGATTAATTATTACAACAGTTTTGCTTTTTTCCACACATGGATTAACATATTTAGAAGGCTGAAGTGATTAATACTTCAAGAGGCAATTGTTTGTTGAATTAACCCTTTGGCTGCAGGATGGTACCTTAAGCTGAATAAAATTGTCTGGCAGTAGCCAGAATAAAATAGCAAGTGCGGGAATTGCAGCGAAAGGGTTAATGTTCAAGGGGAATACATGATTGACTTGATTTTTTTTTCATCCTTATGGTGAGAGGGTAAAGAGGCAGGTGTTTGCTTGTAGCCAACTGTTAAACATCTTTAAGGTCCCTGACAAAAGTAGACTTTACACAGGAGCTGATACTGTTTGTAGTTCACAGATTACTCGCTTCTTTTCCTCATTCACAAAATGGGTTCTCATTGTTCAATCTTTTTTGTTTCTCTTTATTATAATGGAGTATTTGATGAAAAGCCTATTGTGTTTGTCAATCATGTACCATATATCATTCATTGTTCTTCCCAAAACTGAATACACCGATACATGAATGACTTCGTTATTAATCATAGTTTTAGCAGCATGTAATATAACTAAAAAGAAACATTGTTTTTAGGATGTTGAATTACTGTAGTTTAAGTAATTTTTTCTAGTTTTACTGCATGGAATGGTGACTGTGTTAGAAGGTGCAGTACAAGCTGGAGTGTTGTCTCTGTGTGAGCTTTGGTGGTTAAGGAAGCTTGAGGAACGCGAGCATCTTATTGGAAACGTCTTACCACTTCTTCTTGATGTTGCCACCGGCAAAACTGCCAGGGTTTGTCACGCCCATTTTAAGACTTTTGATTAATTGTTGCTCAGTGGCCATCCAACTGGTAACACATTAGCCAATAAAATTTTAAGGATATTAAAGTAAACATTTATTTCTCTAACTAAAGTAGATACCTGCAACATATTTTTCTTTGGCCTTTAGTTAGGCTTGGTGTGGTAAAGTTTTAATAATAAAATGGAAATTGTTTATCTTTTGATTCTTACAATATTCTTCAATTGTCATCATATTATACAGTACAGGAGAGGTACTGTCATCACAGGGGATCACCTGAGGGTTATAACTATTGGGACTAACATTTTATGACTCGCTAATTTGGCGGAAAAAAGATTAATGAACAATATAATAAATGAAATATGCCAACACATACAAAATCATACTCCAATATGACCTTACAAAAAACATATTGGAAGAATATTTTACTGCCAAAATGACCTAAGATTGCTATACGAATATGTAATAATTTGTTGTAATGCTTTTTGGGGGATGTGCAGCACGCTTTTTCTACAGAGGGTTAACAAGAGAATTATTGATTAAAGTTTGTCATTGGTCACAAATCCTAACACCTGAATGGATTGACAGAACATGCCTTCCTTAACACTTTGGGTTCTGGAGGGTTAATCTATTGTTCTCAAAGGATTAAACCAAAATTCTCAAAGGGTTAAAACATTATCCTTAAATGGTTAAACAATTTTCCTAAAGGAGTTAAAACATTGTCCTTAAAAGGTTAAACCATCTTCATCATCAAAGGGTTAAAACATCCTCCTCAAATGTTAAACCATTGTCCTTAAAGTTCTTGTTACCCATCTGTAAAAAAGTGCACGATGCTTTATGTAAAGTTTTATAGAACAATAGTTATTCTCCATTCATCATTTCCCAAACAGAAGAAAGATGTTATTAGACTGTGGTCACTAAATGACGCTTTACAAGTAAGTGACCTCGACAATTCTGAAAATGAGAGGTTTGTCGAGCGTCTGGTGGCCTCTGCCGCGTGTACAGTCTTCCTCAGCTGTGACGAGGGAGTCAAATGGATCGCAGGGCTGTTTTCGTGGGCGTCACTCGTTCCTCTCCTGCATCAAAGTATAAAGACAGTTCTTCCTGACTGCATCAGACCACAGATTGCCAAGTATGCTGAAGTTTATTTTCGAGCCTGGAAGAGCAGCCAGGGTGATGTTAAGAAGGTAAGACGACCTTTATTTAGTGTAAAAATAATTAATAAGAGATAAATTCATTCACCTGTTAAAGAATAGTTACATATGCACACACATTCATGGAATAAAAGTTACATTACTGAACAAGTTAAGTATATCCAGGCTTGCCAAGTACAGTACTGTATACAGTACTATGGACAAGAAAGCTGGAAATATGTACTTACAGCTATGTAATAAGGGAGTGGTACAGTGAATGCCCTATATTTAAAGAGCAACTCAAGGCCTTAGGTTAATAGGAGGATAAGAAAGGGAATGAACTCCATTAATGAGAGGTGTAAGGAATGAAGGGTCTGGATGAGGAAAGAGAACTTGCACTGATAAGGATTAGTGTACAGTAAAACCTCGAATAACGACAGTAATGTGCCCTCCGACATTGTAGTGTAAGGTGAATCATCGTATCGTGAATCATTAATTACCATTAAAATAAAGCACTAATAATGAGATGCTTTCCCAAGTGTGACATTTTCATATCTTTTGTGTGGCTTTTTACCCTCTTTTCCCCCAAAACCATATAATTAATGAAAAAATGCAAACTACATTCGTTAAATAATGTTTCTGGATGCACCTTATACAATATAAATGAATAATATGGTCACACAAGAGGAGATGGGACGCCATTGTTGTTGTCAGTGTTTACAACCGGGAGTCCAGGACGATGGTTCTCCGCGAAAAAAATGAAGAAAATAAGAACCTGGTTGTAGCTGTAGTAAAATTAATGTAAATAATACAATATATATGTTTTAAGTAACGTTATTTAATGTTAAAAAATGGAACAAAAGAAGTAGCTAACCACTAATGGAAAAGAAATAAAGCGAGACGATTGGGAACGCCAATGTATGTAAGTGCATACACGTGAAAACATTTTGCCATTTCTCTACACATAAGAATATGAAAGCAACACTTATTTACTGTTCATATATGTTTTAAATAATATTTTCGAATGTAAAACAAAAATTCTACTTACCAATTGTGGTAAAATCTAAACATAAGGACAGCCAATGATGATGTGCGAGTTTTTACTCACATGGCGAAGTCATCAGGTTCAACTCTGGCTGAAGCTGTAGCTTTCCATAAAGCTGTTACTGAACCTGAAGTTGTTGTCGATGCTGCTTATGATGCTGAATTTGATGGTGTAGCTGAAGTTGATGGTTTAGGCCTTCAAATAATAAAGCTGTTCAAAGAACCTTGCACAGCTGCTTTTTTTTCTCATTATACATCTTTATGTAGAGGTCATTTCATTTTTCATGTCCCTGATAATTTTAATTCTTCGTTCTGTTAATGGATCCACTTCAGAAAATATGTCCATTGCTTGCTCCATATAATAACCACAGACCTCTCACTTTTTTCATATCGTTTCAACACATTTAGTTTCTCTGCTAAGCTTATCCACTTTCTATCAGCTTTTGAACCAGCACTACCACCACTTGCTCTCTTGCTCATGTTGAATAGGGGACGCAAAAATTTCGGAAGAAATCCTGTTCAGATGCATGAAAACAAAGGGACCGCCAGTTGCGACTATTTACACTGTCAATGCTAACAAGCCCGGCAGCCTCTGTGCGCAAGGCTTGTGTTTTTGCCCTTTTTTTTGTATATTGCATATCGAGATTTAGTCATTACAGTATTGATATGAAAGTGTATTTTCATTATTTATATTTTTTTTAAATTTCGTCGTAAATAAGAAGAAAATAATGGCATAAGTTGAATTGGGTTCTACATTAACCAGGGTCTTCAATATGAATCGTCGTTAGTAGAACCATCGTTATCGAAGACTTTACTGTACGGTGCAAATGTAGCTAATTGAATTATAATGTTAATACTGGGAGAAGAACAATTGTGGTCCTGAGAGTATTAATTAGTGAGAAGTGTGTGGGTGTAGGGTGTCAAGTAGACTACAGAAAGGTGTACACTTGTTTATAATTTTTATATGGATGTTAAACTCTGGTATTTTACATAATCCGTAAGATGGAAGGGGAGTTCACATCTATCAGTCGGACTTTTGATATAATGGAATCTCATCTCTGTATAGTTGGTTAGATGGAAGTTTCACATCTAATTGGCCCTCTATATAACGGACTTCCCTCTCCATGTAGTCCGTTATATAGAGGTTTCTTCGTAAATAGTCAGTATGGATGGTGGACTCACTTTGTATAGCTAGCTACTGTTTATGTAAATTGAAGACAAGAAGCGTAGTATAGTATATATGTGAATGTTCTCAAATTTCTTGGCCCTTTTTTGTCACTTGGCACATTTTCTTAAATCACTTTTTCTCCGACTGTATTTGTCCCTTTTAGGTTTCTGTGTTTTCTGTATCCCTTAACCCATCCTTCACAGAGTAGAGTTTGTAGATGAATAGATAGCTAGATTGATAGGAAATATCATACATAATGTATTCAAAAAGTTGGTTACTTGTTCCTCAGACTGTGGAGGAGAATTGTCTTCAAGACTTTATGTACGCCGCCGTCCATGTGAATCCAATGTCTGGCCGACTGTCAACTAATCTCCACCATCTTCTCCACCACATTCACCGTCAGAAGAGACATCATGCTGTTGCCACCACCATATACTGTCTCTATGATCCCTTCCTCTGGCGGTCTCTCAAGGTCAGTATACAGTCAAACATCTGTTTAATGGACTACAGTATTTTCTCGATTTAATGAACTAATTCGAGCCACCCGTTCGTTTAATCGAAATTTCCGCTAAATGGAGCTCTCGGTCAACTAAGTATCTACTGGAGCACCTTAGCTTTCGTCTTCACTCAAGACGTCTTTAGAGACAACTGAATTACAGGGATGGAATGTCAGGTCACCATTTCTTGGCTGGGTCTCATGACCTGAAGATGTTTTGAATAAAGACAAAAGCTATAGTATTTTGGGGGAGACCTGACCTGATGCAATGTCAGGTGGAGGAGGGGGGAGGGGGAGAATAGTGGTCTCATTACTGACCTTCTGATGGAATATCAGGTCCCCCTTTCTTGGGTTGGGGGATTCGTGGTCTCATGACCTGAAGACATGAATAAACACGAAAGCTAAAGTATTTTTAGGGAGGTTGTGATATTTATAAGAATAAATGAGGTAAGTTGTATCCCTTCAACATTACTGTATACGTTGCATAACATTTTAAAAGTATGGAGTGAGAAAGCAGAAAGGTGTGGATGATTAGAGCGATGGAATGGAAAGGAGTGATAACATGTACCATTTTGCCAAGTGCTCCTCACAACAGCTGATGTTTATTTCGCCTCCAGGCAGTCACACAACAAGATTCCCACTGGATGTTTGTTGTTTTAATTCCCGTGTGTGTGTGTGTGTAACACACCTCAACATCACATACAAACACCACCAACACACACCTTCCAACTTTTATTATAATATATTCTTGTATGATCAGCCTCTTATGATGTATGTTTTATCATTGGTAATATAAAATATTAAATACTACTATAGAAAAAAAACAACCATATATAATCAGTAATTTGAGTAAAAATGAAGAGAAAAGCCAAATAATAAGGTAAAAATAAGTATGTTACTGTATGTGAAGGAAATTGGTATTAATAAGCTCAAATTATTACAGTAACATATCTTTACTAATTAATAAATAATATTTTGTCGACTTACAGTAAGACTGACAGAGGCATGGGTGGGGGGTAAGTCTCTCCCCTTAAGGGTCTCCATCCCTACTCCACCACCAGTCTCTCTGTACATAACTGAACAAAGAATTTATTTGAAATACTCTTAACAGTCAATGCCATAATATCCTGACCACTGGGGTTAGTTATACAGACTTTTTCCTGTGAAAAAGCCATTATTTTGAGCAACATATTACTGTATTCACTTTGTACTCAAGTGTACTAAGTTAATGGACTAAATTTTTTATCTCTTGTGCAAACTATGAGATGTTTATACTAAAATTAATTGCTGTCTTGCAAGGATTCTAACAATGCAAGTTATATTCTGTTAAGTCTAATCTGTAATATTTTAAAAGAGAAAAATTTAAGCCTAAAACCACCTTCATCATATAAAATCCTTATCACCCACCGCCATCTCACCTTACCTGCTGGCTGGGAGGAGGGGGGGGGGGTAGGTGTGGTGTTGACATCCAGGAGGGGAAATTACCGAGTGGGTAGTTATCATTGGAGGGGGAGGGTTGGGTGTTAGGGCGTTATAAACAGGGAGTTTAAGTTTTTCACTTATAAAATGTCTCTGACTTGACTTAGCAGAATATAACTTGCATTGATGGAATTGTTGTAAGATAGCGATTTATTTGAGTACAAACATCCCATCGTTTGTAAAAGACCTAAAATTTTTAATAATGAGCACAGGTTGTGATAATTTATGCGTTGTGGTTGCAAAGCTTCGTGTATAATGCGTCTCCATATCCCCTGATTTATTCACTACCAGTTGTCTAAGTGCAAGAGTCGCCAAATCGAGCCATCATGTATCAATTAATTTTAAAATAGAAATTATAGTGTAAAATGTTATGAGACAACATTAGTGATGTTGATGTGTGTCTTGTCATGTCACCGTACTCCGTAGGTATTAGCATATTAATGGAATTAATCTCGA